ATAACAGAAAATCAATAAGCATATTTTTCTGCGAGCATCCAAGGATATCCTGGACGTGACAAGAACGAGCATTTCGCATTGCGGGCTCCTAAAGTGATCACAAACATAACCTGAATAATTAATGGATATTTCACTACAAATATATTGAGTTGAATTTTCATTCGCCTTTATAATTATCAGTTAAAATAAATATCCATTCGACCTTCAAATACCGGGTGTCCCAATAGGTTATCGAATACAGGCAATATCTCGCTCATTTGTCAAGATATCAAAAACTGCATTGAATGGCGTCAAATTACCTTCCTAATGACCTATGAATAAGAGTGTGAGATATTTGACAGCCCCCTGATGATGAATACTAATCAGTTATTTTTTTCAAATGGCATATTGTCTTCGAAAATTGCGAGTCAATCTATTTGAAATACAATGATATAGCACATACTTTGTGTTTGGTTCATTGATAACAACAAAAACATAAACATTTTGTGACTTTTTAACGTTACCTAATCAAATGAGAAATTGCTTTCACCTATGTGTTCGAAAAGTTCACAGATGAGAAGTATGGATTGAATTTTTGTTTCATAAAATCAATGACAGATATTCTATCTGAAGTGTAGAATATCAAGTGTAATAATTGATCTACTTTTTTATATTTTGTGAAATTTTCACAAACATGGGGGAGGCAATTATTTTCAATTGATGTAACGTAAATAAGGTCAAAAAATGGTAATGTTTTTTATTGTTATCAATGAACAAAATACGCGGTACCTATGTGCTATCGTTCTTTTCCAAAATAGGATGATAGGCAATTTTCAATGTCAATATATGCAGGGGGTCCATTCAATAAGAGTTGAAGGGTAGCTACCAGGGGGCTGTCTGATCCAATACGATTTTTTTATAAGTCATAAGGAGAGAACGATGTCATTTGAAGCAATTTTCACTATTTCTTGATCATCTTGTCAAATAAGCGAGTTTTCAACTGTACCTATACGATAACTTGAGACACACAGTATTAACATGAAATGGAAAAATAAAAATTGCGATATTTCATCACATTAGGCCACCATGATTATCGATGGGTAATTCATTGAAATAATTTTCTTACTGTCCTAGAGATTTTGTTCAACAGGACATATTATTATCTCCTCGTTAATTATGGATGATTATCTGTTCTGACCAAATAGACAAAAATGTTTCAATTCAGATGAGATCGAGAATCAAATATCTACTTTGAATTCGTGGTAAATATCGGACGACCTTTTGTTTTGAATGAATACCCGGCCTACTCCTCAATCCATTGTCCGAGAAACCGGTTATCTGAAAATTCTCTTACAGGAGCAGCATCGTGCGAAGGTGCTCCATCTTGCTGGAAATGAAGCCGATCAGCATCATGATTTTCGTCGTCCTCTATTATATCTGTTATGAAAGGATCAATTGCATCGTCAAGCATGTTTAGGTAGATTCAACCAGTAAAATTTCCTTGAATGAAAAGTGGTCCTATATGATATATATATATATAATCATATCCCTTTTTACCCATAGGGTGTAAGGGTGCATGTTTCAGTACATTAATAATAATTATTGTTTATAAATTTCTTCCATTCCTTTCTTTCTTGTGCTAAGTCCTTAGCTTCTGGCCACGTTTTTCTTCTCTTCTTCAGAATTTTTCCAACAACATTGTCCCACGTCTGTATTGGTCGCCCTACTTTCCTTTTCCCTTGAGCTTTGGACTTCCATATCCTTTTGACCTGTGTTCCGTTTTTCATTCTTTGTAGATGTCCCCACCACGCTAGTTGTTTTTTCTCAATATATTCTTCTATCGATTCTATTTCCAATTCTTCTCTTATTACTACATTTCTGATTTTTTCTCTCCTTGTAATGCCTTTCACTCTTCTCAGATACTTCATTTCTGTTGCTTTAATTTTGCTCTTTTCTTGTTCCGTTAATACCCATGATTCACAGCCGTGCGTTAGTATAGGTCTGTAAATGGTTTTGTAGACTTTCATTTTAGTTTTTCGTGATATTTCTCTTTTATTTATGAATCCCTTATTCAATGAGTAATATACTCTGTTAGCTTTCTCTATCCTATTGCTTAATTCCACTTCGTGTTTTCCCGTTTCTTCTAGTGTTATTCCTAAGTACTGAAACTTTTTAACTTGTTCTATTCTCTCGTCGTCAATCATTACTTCAATTTCTTTCCTTTCCCCTGAGATTACCATCACTTTTGTTTTTGTTTTGTTCAGTTTCATGCCATACTTCATTAACACTTCCTTCCATACTCTCAAGTTTTCATTCAGATCTTTCTCGCTTCCTGTAATTATTGCTACGTCATCTGCAAAGGCACATTCAGATATTCCAATCCTTTCCAAGTTTTTGTATCCGATATATAATGGTTTTGTTTTTAGTTGCGCTTCTTTTATTATTTCGTCCATCAACGTTATGAATAACAGAGGACTCAGGTTACCTCCTTGTCTCACCCCCTCTTTTGTTCGGAATTCGTCAGACTTCGAGTTTTTACTGATAATTATATTTTTTGTTTCTTTGTAAATGCATTGTATTACTCTCAATAGTTTCTTCTCTACTTTCTTTTTATTTAGGCATTCCCATATTTTATTTCTTGGTACCCTGTCGAATGCTTTTTCTAAGTCGATGAATGCTAAGTAGGCTGTTTTATTTCTTGTTAGTAATCTATTTGTGACTTCTTTTATTGTGAAAATATGGTCTTGCGTACATCTTCCTTCACGGAATTCACTCTGTGATTCTGTCAAAGTTGGTTCTACTACTTTTCTTAATCTTTTCTCTATTATCTTTTCAAATAATTTCGTAATTGTGCTCAGCAGTGTTATACCTCTATAGTTGTTGCAATCTTTGCTATCTCCTTTCTTGAATATAGGTACTATTAGCCCAACCCCCCAATCTTCTGGTAATTTTTCTTCTCTCCATACTTTATTGAATATTCCTAGTAGCATTTGTATACCACTTTCTCCCATACTTTTCACCATTTCTGCTGTGATCTTGTCGTTTCCTGGAGCCTTTCCATTCTTAAGTTCAGTTATTGCCATGCTTAGTTCTTCCTTTGTTATATTTTCCTCATCTGATGCTCGTGTTTCCGTTATTTCTTCGTTTTCATCCTCCTCTTATTCTTGCTCTTCTGTCACGCGATCCGTTTCTAGTAATTTGTGCTGCGTATAGTTTGACACTATACGCAGCACAACTTTCAAAGAAAAATAATTTGCATTTACATGTTGAGAACGGGAGCAGAATCGGTCCCGAAACATCCAAAGATAAGTACAAATTCGATATTTTTTCAATATATCTATATTTCTTTCCTTCAAACATTTTTTCAAACAGATTGTCACTGACAAGCTATTGGATTTTTCTTTTAGACTCCCTGATAGAAAAATTTGTTAAACGCAGTGACATTTTGGGGCAAATCATCTGATTTGTCCCTCTACAAATATATTGAAATAATACAAATACTTTTATTTTATAGAAACGAGGAGAGAAAATCCCAAAGAACCAAGTAAAATGAATGTACCACCTCCTCGATTAACCTACAGACAGTATTTAACAATTTTAACTCGTTCTGGAATGGAATAAACCATTTCGTACAGTGAAATTGAAATAATTTCAAAAGCAACCAGACTGAATCAATGAAGGGACTAAAATAAAAGTTTGTCTCAAGTTTTTTCTCCACTTAGCCGCAGTTTTTCCCGACAAGAGACGCGAACGATAAATGGGGATTTTTTGTGATAAAGAGAATTTACATTGAAATGTTCCTTCCGGTAAAATGAAGTAATTTAGAGATGGTCGTTGCTATTCTGATACCTAATAACCAAAACTTATTTGTATTTTTCATTAATATCTAAATTATCGGGTTAATGTTCTCAAAGCCGTTTTCGCATTAACTGTTCGAATAAATTTCAATAAATAGTGTATCAATAGAAAGATAATTTTGTGCCCGTTCAAATGATATATCACTCGACCCCACTTTCCATTTGGAATTTAAGGTTTGAGACACACCCTCGCTGGGGCGTTTAAGGCACAGGTTGAGAAATGTGTCTAAAATGTGTCCCTCCTCAAAAGCAAACTCCACGTGTCCGAGCATTTTTTTTGCTTTCAATTCTAAACGAAGGAAAAAAGCTAGGTGCATACTTTTCGTTGGACCACTCTGTACATAGAATTGCTATAAGAAACTCATTATGAATGTACCTGCAATACATATTTCGAAGCCATTGTATCCCAATGAGAAATTCCTATCAGAAACTGATTATAAATGTTTCTACAAAACAACATTTATACAAACTTACTGACTTCTCGAGAACACTGTCGAAAAGTTGTCGATCTGGCTCTATTTCATAGATATTTTCATGGACGATGCTCTTCTGAAATATCAGCAATTGTTCCTCCTTTGGCAGTCCCCGCGAGATTAACCCGTCGAGTTAGGGCTTCGCACCCCTTCGTGGTCACTTTGGAGATCTGCAGGACATCTCTTTCCAAAAACCCGTTCAACCAACGAACAGCAAGGCTCTGAAATACATTGCCAAGGGAGGTGTTCCCCGAGGTATATAAACTCCAGAAATTTAGGAACAACACAAATTCCTACCTCATTTCTGTTGTGAACTTACCTTAATCCATTTAGGTATGCTCTGTGCTCTGAGTTTTGTGTTCTGTACTTCTAAGGTTCTGTGGCTTTGACGGCTAGTCAGTCAGTTGTCTTGCATTAGGCACTTTCCTTATAATGATTGATGGTCATGTGATGTAAGATTGTAAGTTGTAAGATGTAAGGGTATTGGCAATAATTAAACAAGTATTATCAAAAAGTCATATTAATGAAATACACAACATTTTGGCGACGAGTGAAGTCGAATCTACGTGCCATGAGTGTAGAATCGTTCTGAGAAATTCAGTCTGTATCTGGTCTGGTGAGTCTCCAGTTAGTCCAAGTCGGTCTGAAGTCTAGTCAAGTGCGTCTATTATAACAGTGTACCAGTACCAAGATGGCGTTGGTCGGCATGATAGAAAATTTCAAGCCAAAGGAATCTGATATAACAATTCATATAGAGCGTATTGAGCAGTTATTCAGCTGCAATGAGATAGCTGATAATGAAAAAGTATCGCTGTTCTCAACCTTGGTTGAGGGAGAGGCGTACTGTGTGCTGAAGGATTTATTGGCCCCCACGTTACCAAGTGCCAAAACATACTCAGAATTGAAAGATGTTTTGTTGGCACACTATTGTCCAAAACGGTTGAAAATTGCTGAGCGATATAAGTACTACGTGCTAGTCAAGAAAGCGATGAAGATGTTGAAACATACTCTGTCAAATTGAAGAATCTTGCAAAGTATGGGTACACAATTCAAATTCATGAATTCACAATGTTTCAATGAGGAACACCCATCAACAACTGATTATGAATGTATCTGTGAATTACAGTTCGAACTGCATTAACAATTGCTATTACGCAGTTAACACAGATTGATTCCAGAGATATAAGAGTGCATCACATTCATGCCATACATCACATCCGTGACTCGAAATGAGAGTCTCACTGAAATCACAATGACTACTATTCCGGACCCTTTTGTTAATTTAGTGATTCACATTATGATGCCAAATGAAACTCGCAGTACGTATTAAGTGACTCCTAATTTAACATCAAAATTGATTGATTTAGTTTGTTACATAAATATACAAGAATCTGAGGATCCTGTGAGTCTCAAATTGGTAAGGGAGCCTCACAAATTCATCAACATCTTTAGTCTCAAATCCAATAAAATTTAACGAATATTGCGAAAGTTTTGTGAAATGAAAAGTCCTCTGGCAATACCAATGATGTTATCATGTATTTCGCATTGTTACCTTGTGAGACATGAATTTGACATCCCAGGGATGTCTGTGTCTACTTGGTAGGAACTGATAACTGTAACTGCAGAATACATTTCAAGCTCATGAATGAGAAAATGCTTTCATACGAAATTACTGTTTTTTACTATCCAACTTGACTCTGATACATTCTCATATATAAGGAATCAGGCATTACTGTCAAGAACTGATTATAAAATCATCTGCGAAACACAGGTTGAACTCATGAGAGAACGAGTTGAAGCTGGTGAAGAAGGATGATATACCTAAACTCCACATCTGCATGACCCTCATCCCAGATGATGAAGGGCTGCCCAGACTGACGGGGGAGCAGGTGACGAATCGTCTACGTAAGATGAACCATACACTGCGTACCCAGGAGTGGACTATATTACACAGGGAAAGCGCAGGTATGGGACAGACGTGGACATTCTCAATGGACGATGGATCCATTAAGGAATTGGAGCGGCTACACTTCCGCCCACACTTCGGTTTTGGACAGGTGCAATTCCGGTTCAAGAACTCGAAGAAAGATCCGGCATCGACAGCGGGGCCGGAGTCCTCGAGCAGAATCGCGAGACCCAAAAAAAGGGAGACAAATCCAACTTTTAGGGGATTGCGGGCTCGGAGACTTCGGCCAAAGCTGCCGAAAAAACCAAAACGGCCTTTACAGGCAAGGGGAAAAAACCCCTTCGAGGTAAGGCGCCGAAAAAACGAGGTGGACCGGAACCTGAGGCAAGGGGGGAAAGTAATCCTCCTTGCCCTCTCTCCTCGTAGGGAAGATGGCTACCCACATCTCGTTCCTTCAGGCGAATATCCAACATGCCAAAGCGGCCTCTTTCGTCCTTGGCAGGAGGTTCGCCTGTCAAAAACTTGATGTGGCATTGATCCAGGAACCCTGGATTTCCAACACAGGCCGGATTAGCGGCCTGGGAAACTGCTCTGGTAAGTTGATTGCATGCACTACAGGTGGCAAACCTAGGGCTTGTATACTTATCCGGAATAACATCAACTACTTTATGTTAACAGGTTTCTGCACCCCTGATGTGGTTGCAGCTCAGCTCTCGGTCCCGGTGGGGGACAGCAGCATAGACGTAGTAGTCTGCTCTGCATACTTCCCGGGCGACCTGAGGGAACAGCCTCCTCCAGCAGCAGTGCGAGAGCTAATCGCCTTCTGCAAGAGGAAAAACAGGCAACTGATCATTGGATGTGATGCAAATGCCCACCATTTGGACTGGGGAAGTAGCAACATCAATGAAAGAGGTGAGTACCTATATAACTATATAATAGGTGGAGGGCTAGTCGTAAATAACGTAGGCTCGGAGCCAACTTTCGTGAACAGAATTCGCGGAGAGGTTTTAGACTTAACAATCAGTACACAATTTATGAGTACGAAGATCGTTAATTTGCAAGTATCTACGGAGTCCTCATGTTCAGATCATAGACATATACGATTTGATGTGAGAACAGGACACCGACCAATAGTACAATTTTGGGATCCTAAGTGCACAGACTGGAATGGGTACTGTGAATCTCTCCAGAAGCACCTTGATCCCAGAATCAGTACTATCAAAAATAGTGCCGAAATCGAAGTGGCGAATGAGCGTATAGCAACCGCAATTCTAACGGCCTATCAGGACAACTACTCACTAAAGGAGAAGAAAGACCACAGAGGTACACCCTGGTGGAGCAAGAGCCTGGACAAAAAAAGGCAAGAAGTTCGACGTCTCTTCAATCGAGCTAAAGATGCAGGGTGCTGGGACACTTACCGCACATCTCTAACGGCTTATAACAAAGAAATAAGGAAAGCCAAAAGAGACTCTTGGAGGAGATTCTGTCAGAGTATATCAGATGTACCTGCCAGCATGAGAATTCACAAGGCTCTCGCCAGAGATCCGACCCAAGAGATCGGCTCGATAAAACGACCAGATGGCTCTTTTACGGACTCTGGTAGGCAAACGTTAGAGGTTCTTCTACAGACTCACTTTCCCGGCAGCCTGCTCCTGGAGGACCGTCAGCAGATTCCACTTCCAATGGGATCGATAATACGACCAAAAAAGGAGGACTGGAAGAATGCCTCAATGGTGGTCACCCCAGAGTCAGTGGAATGGGCGGTGAATTGTTTCTCCCCATTCAAGTCTCCGGGAGAGGACGGAGTTTTTCCTGCCCTCTTACAAAAGGGTAGAGAAGTTTTACTACCTCTCCTGGTTAAATTATATAGAGCGAGTTTGGCGTGGAGCTACATCTCGTTAGGCTGGTCAACAGCGAGGGTTGTGTATATACACAAATCGGGTACGGTGAATCATTCCCTACCCAAATCCTTCCGACCGATCAGCCTCACCTCGTTCCTATTAAAAACTCTAGAAAGAATTCTAGACAGGCATATTAGAGAGGGGAATCTAAGGGAGCATCCCCTAAATCCCCATCAATATGCCTACCAAACAGGCAAATCAACGGATTTAGCACTGAACAATCTTGTAGGAAAGATCAGCCATTCCTTAGATCATAAGGAAATTGCGCTGGCAGCCTTCCTAGACATAGAAGGAGCGTTCAATAACGCCCTACCACAATCACCTACATCGCAATGCAAGGTAGAGGAATCAGCAGGCAAATATGCAACTGGATCAAAACCATGATTGGAAATCGGTACGTCATATCATCACTGCATGGAGGGTCGATCAGGTTTAGAGCGGCAAAAGGTTGTCCACAGGGCGGGGTACTTTCCCCCCTTATGTGGTCATTTTTGGTTGACTCTCTGCTGAGCGATCTCTCCATGCAGGGGGTGGATTTCCAATGCTATGCAGATGATCTCGTCCTAATAGTAAGAGGGAAATTTGAAGCGACGATCTCAAACGGCCTACAAGAAGCCCTCAATACTGTGTACAGATGGTGCGAGAGGGAGAAGATGTCTGTGAACCCCCGGAAAACTGTGATCATCCCTTTTACAAAAAGGCAAAAGCTAGATAAGCTTCGTCAGCCTGTCCTATATGGAGAGAGCATTCCGTTTGCGACGGAGGTGAAATATCTAGGGGTCACCCTAGATAAAAGACTCACCTCGAACGCCCATATGGCAAAAACTATTAACAAAGCCAGATTTTCCCTCTGGAACCTCAGAAGGGTATGCGGCAAATCATGGGGAATGAACCCCAAACAGATTTACTGGATTTACCAAACAATGGTAAAACCAATGGTCACGTATGGCTCGGTAGTTTGGTGGACTAAAGGTCTGCAGGAAACAGCCAGAGCAAAGCTTGCTGGTCTCCAGCGGCTGGCGTGCCTGGCCATTACAGGGGCGATGTCCTCTACTTCAACGGCAGCGACGGAAAACCTCCTGAACCTCACTTCCCTCCACATTGTCTTGGAGAGGGAAGCCAGGATGGTTTCCTACAGATTCCTGTCATTGGAAAATCAAATCAGAGGGGGGCGACTGCTGGACCACTCCGGGATACTGTGTGAAACAAAAAACCACCAAACTCTAGGAATGGTTTCCGACATGTTGGCCACTCAGACACACGTGAAAAAGTCTTTCAAAGTACTCTTCCCGAAGAGAGACGAATGGGCAAGCAGATCAGTCCGATTCCCAGAGACCGAACACGTAATGTACACAGATGGTTCGAAAACCCCTCGTGGAGTGGGAGCCGGTGTGTTCAGCAGAAAACCGAAGACGGAAATTTCCGTCAATCTCGGCAAATATGCTACAATCTTTCAGGCGGAGGTATTCGCAATTGCATTGTGTGCTAGAGAGTTGTCGAATAAACCTCTAGTAAACAAAAATATCAGTATTGTATCAGACAGTCAGGCTGCTCTTAAAGCACTGAGCTCTAGCAAGATAAATTCCAAGCTTGTATGGAGCTGCATTGAATCCCTAGAAAGCCTGGGTGCTAACAACAGAGTAACTTTGCTGTGGGTGCCTGGACACCAGGGGGTGGGGGGTAACGAGAAAGCCGACATCCTCGCCAAACAGGGAACCGAATCTGTGTTCATAGGACCAGAACCATATTTTGGGGTCACCGCAAGTGCGGCGAAAACAACTATCTCGGGCTGGGCGGAGGGAAAAACACTCACGTACTGGTCCGAACTACCAGGATTAACCCATTCGAAGGCGTTCCTGCCTAAACCATCGGAAAAAATAACCAGGCAGATCCTAGAATGGAGCAGGGGTAACCTGCGAATTCTGACTGGACTGCTTACGGGACACTGTCGTCTAAGATACCACCTGGGAAGGATGGGTCTGAACCAACAAACGGACTGTCGGTTCTGTTGTGTGGAAGACGAAACGGCTGAACACATATTATGTTCATGCTCTAGCTTAGAAAGACTAAGGTTCGACATATTTGGCTTTACCAACCTAGAACCTATCGATTTCAGACAAATCTCACCCAATTCAACCATGAAGTTCGTAAAAAGATGTGGATTGTACGGTGAACTGTAACCTCTTGGGGTGAGCCACAATAGACCCATCTGGG